TTTTTTTTTTAAAACACCTGTCCACCCGATGACAAAATTACTCTAACATATGATCTTAAATCCATAAAAATACTCAAAAAACATTGTCCCCTCTTGAATAGACGTTAATAACACAAAAATAATCATGTACATGCAAAACACGTTTTTTTTAAAGTAATGGTTTATTGAGTTTGCTAATCAAATTCATACTGAGGGAGCGAGACAGAGAAAGAGAGAGAGAGAGGGAGAGACGCTCAAGTCTCCCCAAATATCGCTTCCAGTCCGGTACGCATTGTGAGTGGGCCTATCACACAGCACAGCAAACATGAGTAGCCTATTCATTATTCATGTCATTGCAGTTGCCCTGTTATGATACAGTCCTATTTGGAGTGGGCTATACCTGATTTGCTCAGCGCGTCCGTCAAAGCAGTGCGTGGCCCTGCGTCGGCTGGCTGTGCGCGCTCATAGGTCGGACCAAGAAGAATCGGAGGGGGAGCAAGTAAAGTGCGCGCCTACGAGACTGCGCGTCGCAAGGAGGGGTAGAGGTTCAGCTGAAAAAAAAAAAAAGAAAAAAAAGGAAGGCGAAAAAAAAATACACCGTGACAATGGCAACATCAAGCATCTCGTAAAAGGTAGATAACAGGCGAGGGGGCGCCACGAATCGGGAGTTTGAGAGGCGACGGCCCCTGTTGGTCCCGAGAAAAGCGGCGATATTAGGACATGCTGGCTGCCCTATAGCGCGTTTCCTGGAATACGAATTCTTCCGTAATTGAAAATGGAGCGGCGGGGGAGAGGAGAGTCGCGCTGTCTCCATCATTGAGAGGCGCGTCCACCTGCTATTACTGGAGGCCCGGGCTGCTGCTGCTGCTGGTGGTGGTGGTGCTGGTGGTGGCGGCAGGGGAGGGAGGGTTGGGGGACATGCAGGGGAAGTGTTTGCATTTCGGGGGAAAGACGCATCTCTGATACTGTCCAGGGCAGCTGAGAAGGATCCCATTGCGACGGGGGAAAAAACGCAGTTTGGGCGCACACGCTCTGGAGGTAGGCAGAGAAAACGCTATTATGCTGCTATTCAGCGTGCCGTGTGTATTTGAATAGAGAGCGAGCTCTATTTGGTATGCACAGGACAGCCTGATTTATACACATACACACACACTGATTTATATCCCTGCCTTCTTGATTTGGTCTGATCGGACATTTTATTCAAAGGGGGAACTCACACCATGCATGCGGTGTAGTAGCAGCCCTACCTCCTTGGGACAGCTGTCGTAGCCTACATTCATTCGTCTCTGCTCCATCGATTACCTTCTCCCTGCGAAAAAAAAAATACCCCCACTTACTTAAAGCACAAGCTCCGATCTATTCGCTTAAGGCTCACAAATTCAATCCAAATACAGATGCCACGTGTGGTTGTTCGCGTTGATGCCAGTTACCTTGCACTGTTTGCATGTTTTGAAGGCAAACACTGGCCTGTGGACGTCATTTTGAAGCAACGTAATGCATCCCGAGCAGTACACTGGCCCAAAATGAATAAGAAATGAATAAAGGGGGAATAATCTATAGTCCAAACTGATGAATGATTCATGAATGAGCTATTGAAACCTAATGAGATAACACATCATCTCTCTAGGCCCCTCCACTGTGATGGCGAATAAATGATTCATAAACGGTTTATAAGCACAAATCCTTAAAATTGGCCTAAACATGACGATAGCAGAGGCTCACACGCAGGTGCACCAAGGCATGTGTGAATGCCTGCACTGTCGGGTCACTGGATCAGTAGCTTACTGTGTCTGTGCTCCCCTGTAAGGATGCTTCATGACAGATGTTTACTGGATGTCCCAGTCTACCACACTGTCAGCCAGACGAGCTGCTCTGAGAAATAATGAGCTGCAGCCCAAGATAACAGCCTCTGTGCTTGGTTGTTGTGGAGGTGTAACTTTGTTTTAAATAGGGATTTAATTGGATTAAATTTTAACGAGCTAGAAATGTGTCTGCCTGATATTTATTGGAATGCCTTGTAAGATGGGATTTTCAAATTAAAAAAAGAAGAAGAAGAAGAAGAAGAAAAACTTGGCAAATTTATCGCCACAGTTAATGATCTGTTCAGCTCACAGTTATTGACCCGGCATGACTTGGTTTTTGATTTGTGTGTGAAGCCTTTGTAGCCTACTTGACAGGGTGCTTTTGACTTTGCTGCACGTTCTGAGAACATTGTTGGATTATTAGCTTAAAGAAAATATGTAATATGTGATGTTAAACTGCAGATGTCCAAGGGTGGGGAGTGGGGGCAGGTTTAGTGAGCTGTTAGTAAAATGTCTGTCCATCCCCACTCCTCTAATGTGAGGACAGGAGTGGAACCCAGATGGAAGGCCATGCATTGATTGAGTCAAAGAGAGCCTATAAGAGGGCCAAATTGAGTTGACACGTTGATGTGGGTGTCATTATCACGTGTGACGGCACAGTGTGCCATTGGACCCGAGGCTATGTGACGTGTGGAAGGGGAGAGGGCCTTGTTCAGGATCATAGATACGGAAATGATGATAGCTATCATATCAGCCGTGCCTTCGTGCCACCGAGCGCGCCGTGGAGATTTGTCTTTTACGGCATTTGCCACTCACATCTCCTTCTGGTCAGCCTCATTGCCGTCACCAAAGTGCCATTTTCCGTTCGGTTGAAATTGGGTGAGAAATTGAGCCCAATGACACATTTCAGCACCGTGGCACGGTTCCACGGCAGCGAGGACGGCACTGGCAGGTTTTCCGAAAATGTGTTTAAAATGCTATCCGAGCGTTATGTTGCAGCAATAAAACCAGCAGCTTGTGTACATAGTCTCTTATCTTCCCCTGTCCATGTGTGCACCGTGGCTTCTCCTCTGCTCAGCCTAAAGGCACATGTTGGGCCTCTACTCTCATGTCTCTTGAATGGGAAAGAATCTCAATTACACACAATGAATGGCTCCTCATCAGTAATCCTTTTCCCTACAAGTGCTCGCATTCTTTATATCTCAGGGTCATGCTTCTGGTTGACAGTGTGCGCATGTGTGTACCGAGCAGCAAACATTTATTTGTGTTATTGATTGTTTTTCCGTAATTCCCCAGTCGCTTATGTTGCATTATCCTGCTAGAGCACAGGTGAGAACATCTCATTAGGCATACAGAAAGGCCATTCCCAGCTCGTATGGAGCCCTGCTGTGTTTTATGCTTGGAGCGCTGTGGTTTTCAGTATAGAAGCACCTTAGCCGAGTCCCGGTCTGTGCAGAAGCACGCTGAGCTCACCGGGGCAGACTGCATGTTTAAGCACACTGTGCTTATGTCAGGCCACTGTATGCTGAGGCCTGCTGTCTCGACCGCAGCCCTGTGCTGGGGTTGTGACGGGCTGGCTGTGGCCCAGCGGAGGCAGTCTTTCTCTGTGCTGCTGCTGCTGAGTTCTGTAATTAAAGGCAGAGGTAAGTCCAGGGGAGAAAGCTGAGCTCTGATTGCTTTTCATGGCCGCGAGGAGAGAGCTGCAGTCTGTCCTGAGGGACTGAGGCGCTGCTGAGCTCTTTCACCGCCTGCTCCGCTTCCCCCCCACCCAGACGGGAGCCGTTCCAGGGAAGACACGCACATTTGTTTTCGCATACTACTTGCGTGCGCACAGACGTAAACATACTCCAATGCAATCTGCAGCACGCACACAAACACACCATGAAATGCACAAATACTGTACACATGCACTGGCTGAGAGAGGGAAACATTTTCCCCTGTAGCTGAAAGTCAAACTGTGCTAAACTGCTTTAAAGAACGCCCCGTTTTAAAGAGCTCGAGTGTCAGTGTGAGGCGAAAACTGTTACAGTGCCGTCATGTAATGAACTAGAAACGACGCAATCAGAAAGACATTAAGGAACTCACCTTTTCATTGGCTGCTCTTCAGCATTGACGGAGCAGTTCATGTGTGAGTGGGCTTAGTGAGTGTAGAAGTGAGCCCACCCCTCCCCTCCTCTTTCACTTCCATGGCAGCAGCCAAACCTACTCTGCACTCGGAGGGCAGAGCAAACACGGCCATGCTCACGTATAGGATCTGGGTGGGCCCCAGCGCTTTTAAAAAAGATGAGAAAAATGGCCTCAGTGCTCTCCTCTCCTCTTTCTGTGGACTCATTCATGACAGCTGGCTGGTTAAAGCACACTGAGGGTTTAAACCATCACATGCCTTACAAGTCGTATCAGAGAGAATCCCATGGAAAGCAAAAGCAGAGTACTTTGAGGATAGGAGCTTTAAAAAGAAAGAGAGAGAGCGAGGGAGGGAGGGAGCATTTGGATGCTATTTAAATGCCAAGTCCGGCCACATTTTTTTTCTTTTCCTACGTGTTCATGAATTAGTTCTGCCAAGATAATTAAAGTAATGCATCAGGATTTCAGCCATTAACAAATAAAAGTCCAATTAAACTGGGGTCTATTAAACCACTTTCCACATTGCCTACTTGATCTCAATATGTAGGCTGGTGGCCACTGGGACCATGAGCATGCAGGCTTGACGTTCATAGCTCATTTCCTGCTTCCACATCAGACTCTTATATTGCAGATAGATAGATAATGTGAAATTTCCCCTGTTCTGCTCACACACTCTCCCGGGCCCCCTTGTATTTTCAGCTCGTGGGATTCTTGAAACAGATAGTGAGATGCGATGCTGGAAAATTTGAGAAGGATACTGAAAAAGGCGGAGATCTAACGCAGTGGACACAGGTGCGCCGTTATGAATGGTGTAAAAATGGCATATTCACAACGTGACTGGAAAGAGAGGAAGGTATATGACAGGGTTGGATTTTAATTGGTTTCACACAATGTGCTCCTATGCATTGTTTCCTTTGTAATGGTGCACACAGTGGCAATAGCAGCTCAGTTTTTTGTTATATAATAACAGTAATAGATTCCTCTTGTCTGCAGTGCCCCTGGTCTAATTCGAACATGTTTTTTTTTTTTTTTTTTTAACTAGATTCCTCATGTTTGAGCCATTTGGAGCTCTACATTCATGGACACGTACTGTCAGGGTCCCGAATACTGGATAATAGGCCACATTTGTTAGCCTTATTTTTGATTTGGTGGTTGAAAAAGGAGTAGATGTGGGCGGGTTGAAAAAAGAAGGACTGATAAAGTGAAAATAAGGGACCAAAACATTAGGTAGGATGCAAAAAAACAAACAAAAAAACAACCCAAAACAAAACAGAGGAGCTGCCTAGGAGATGGGGGACGGACATGGTGGGAAGATTAGAGGAAGGGCTGGATGGACAGACGGAGGGAGAGGGGACAGAAACAACAAGAAAGACGTAGTTAGTGTTGGTGGTGGGGGGTTCGGGGCACGTCTTTCCAGTACAGCCAGTTGGAACAAACAAACGGTCGCGAGACAGACAGTGTTGTTTCTAATGGGAGAGAAGCTCGCTGTGCCCTGGATGTTTCCCTCCACCTTTCATTTTCTAAATGCTGTTTTGTCTGTTCACCACTTAACAAGCCACCAGTGCCTCAGAAAAGAAAACCACGCTTTATTTGCTGCTGTACATAATTACCAGCCATTCAAGACAGACTTGTTTGCTACTCTAAACGATGTTGTGAATTTATGTACAAATAAGAGACAGGCCATATTTTGCTGTAAATCTTCTTCTTCTTTTTTTTCTTTCTCTTCTTTTCTTTCCCCAAGTCGAGTATTTAAAATTTATGGCGTGGCCAGCGTTTCGCTCAAAGATCTGCTGTAATTCACTTCAGTTTAATTGTGCTGCTGTTTGTGGAGACTGCGGCATTCGCGCCCTAATCAAACATTAGAGGTAATTGAATCAAATGGCTATTTTTAATCGTAAGTTGTGGTTGATGCAGGCGAGCATGATGGGAAGAAGCGAGAAAAAAAAATAAAGGAGGTCTGTGGAGCAGATGCAACGGTCTTTCTGTCAGATGCAGTCAGCTGACGGATGGCGCTTTACTTTTCATTTACCATAGCGCGCCAGAGGCAAAACATAATCCATGCATACTGCTTCTGAGCAGAAGTCAAATGAGAAATGTTTTTGAATATCTTAA